CAAATATTAAAATACTATCTTCACACCCACTGCAATGTACAGGATACCAGAAAATATATATAAAATAAAGCAAAATAAAACTGATTGAGTGACATCCTGCACAGCATCAATTATATTTCATGTGTTTTAAAATCCCACATAGAAGAGTACCATTCCACAAACAATTCCATAGTGGTGTAATTCAGATAAAATCCAGAAGACAAATTAATGTATTGAAGGCAACCAAGCTTCCCTATCTGTAACTACTTGCAGTCTGCCCATGGTATCAGAGTGTCTGCTCCACAGACAGTTCATCTTTGTGTTTGCCATGGTATCAGAGTGTCTGCTCCACAGACATTTCATCTTTGTTTGAACTCTTACGTAAAGTTGAAAATAAAAAATAAAGCATTATTTCCAGCAGAATCAGATTGCCCCCTCTCTGTGGGGGACACTTGGACCAAAGCAAAAAGCATATATTAAAATAGAAGAGCATCAGTGTAATTCAGACACATCCACTCTGGTGCAACCACATGTAACCTGTTAAAAGTGATCCAGAAGGCCAAGTTAGAAGCAGGATGCAAGAGCTCGCTGAAGAGGTGTCTGGGAGACTTACATGCTTTGTCCCAGGAGGGGTGAGAGTAGGACAGTGATTCTAGACATTTGGGTTTTTTAAAAATAAGGTTCTGAAATGTTGGGAGAGGGTTCATTTCCAGTACAAAAACCATTCCCTGAAATGAAGCCAGCATTAGGCAGCCTCTCTGAACTTCCAAAGCCTTTTACAGAGAGAACTTGATGTTTAAGTACAAGTTTCTTGTGAAACTTGTTTTCATCCAGTTTAAGCTGCAATTCCTTTTTTGCAGATGAAATTTATTGTGTTGGTGTCTGAGAGCCAGGAAGTGAAACTGATTATACTAGTTCTGGTGTCTCAGCTGTGTGAAGAATATTAATAAAACAATTGCTATCCAAAAATAAAACCCTAATTTTTCAGATTAATTTTTAAATGTGAGATGATGTAAACAAATTAGCAAGGACATCTGAACATTTCTGTCTTGCTGTGTCTCCACATTTTTCATGGAGGAGTTGTGGACTCTTCATTATATGTATTTGGGCCCAGTTCCAATCACCTGCAGGGTTGCTCACAGCTTTTAACAGTGCCTATTGGCTCACCCCAGGTTCTCTTAGGCTCTCTCTCATCTGTACTCTCAGCAATGATCACCCAGCCCAACTTATATCATACAGCAGAACATGTGGTGCTCACTGAGTCCCGGTTCAAATTGACCCAAATTCTCCACACTGAAGCCTTCTGGAATAATGTTAATACTTCTCATCCTCCCAAATTACTCCATGTGCTGTGAGGCCAAGTCACAGTTACAAATGCACAAAATTCCTGCAATACAGATTATGAATTGTTAAATGGGGAAACCCTGAGAATGTGCACGTCCAATCGGAAACATGAAAGATGATGCTCACAGTGTAATGTTACGTTGCAAGTTTCCTGTGGTTTGAAAGGATGGGAATCCTCTGGCACTGCTCTGTCCCAGATCCACAGAGCTCGAATTTTGCAGCATTCCCACAAAGGAGAACGCTGTGGAACACTGCTCCTTCCACGTGCAGTGGAGCGAGGCCCTTACCCACCACAGTTCCCTTACCTGTTACTAGCCCTTTCAACTATTCCAACACTGGTATGATTAAAGTTGGCTTTTAATCAATTTTGCACTTCATAATCTGGGCACTGAAAAGAGATGAATCCCGTTCTTTCACTTGTGATCAGTTTCACTTTTTGTATCTCCCACACTAGCCTGCTGCTGTAATATCTGAATTGCAAACACAGCAGAGGAATCTTCTCTCTTTTTTTAAAAGAAAACCTTTCAATTAGAATAGAAAGGAAATCATGGAAGAGTTTCTATTGCACATAGTAAGAGTGTACATTTCTCCTGACAGTGTCCCTTTAAGTTTTGTACCTCATTATTTTAATACGTGCTAGCTGTTTTTAATTTTTGCATATAATTAAATCATTTGAATGTTTCTGTTAAGAATTTCAGGGTACAGCATGTAGAAGACAACACAAAACTGCATCCTGTTGGGATTGTTATGCGGGACTGTCTTCTTTTGAATACTCTCTTCTATGAGAACAGCAAGCAATTCCACTCCAATTCTTCACTCCAACTTAACGCTAACATGTTATGGGAGAGCTCATAACCAAAGGTTCCTTAAGGTCAAGTCCTGCAATCCTTACTCCCATTGACTAAAATGGGAGTCCTGAGTGTGTAGCCTCTCACTGATTCTAGCTTTCTTCCCTCCCCAGACATTGATTCCTGTACTTTCAAGCCTCCTTTAGACTTTAAAGGTATGCAGGTAACAGTTCACATATTACTCAGTAAGGGGAAAGAAAAAGGAGTTTCTCTTAATTAAGCAGGTAAGTATTCAAACAGTTTCTTCCCCTCCTTATTCTCTCTCATTGTATAGGTAAGTAAATTCAGAAGCTGTATGCTTGGGAAGGCAAGACAATTTAAATACTGTCCCTATTTCTTCTGGCTTTCATTGGATCTAATGGCTCCAGTCTGCATGGATGTTTCCACAGAGGAAAGTGGCACGCTGGTTTTCTGCCACCACGCAGGCCTCTATGGGCACTGAAGATTACTAGGAAGCCAGCATCCTACAACTAGATCTCCCCACCATAGGCCATGCTCCATTATCAGTAGCAGCTCTTTTAGGCTCCTTAGTCAAAGATACATTCACTGTCTAGGTCTGCTGATTATGGAGACTACAGCCACATCTTTTCCCTCTTCCCCTCCACTCTGCCATCCAGGAAAGAAACTCTGGGGAATCTATACTTCCTTCTGCTGTTTTTTCCCAGTTGATTAGTGCTCAGACTGGGGCTAACCACTCTATTGTGGGTGGGGATTAGTGGGCGCAGCCACTCTATGAGGTGCATGACTCTCAGTTTTGGCATTCAGAACAAGGTCTGGCCCTGGGATCAAATTCCAGCTTCATTAAGGAAATGCTGCTCTTCTGTTCGCTGAAAACCCTGTTAGCGTGGCACTCGGCCTTTGCACCCAGCTGCTTTACCAGGCAAGCTTAAGTTAAAGAGCTTTTTCATTCTCTTTCGAATTTGTTTGAAGAGAAGAAAACATGGACAGTCTTTGCACTTTGGTAAGAAGTGAGAGAGCAGGTTATAGGGACACTTACAAAAATTTGATTTTGTAGAAGAATAATTTTAAAATTAAGAGTTTCAAAACATTGATTTTTTTAAAATTGCAGTAGATACAAGTTTACAGAGTAGTACACTTATATCTGCACTGTCTGAAGGTCAAATGCTGCAGCACCAGTAAACGGGAAATGAAACAAATTTGATTTTTATTGTCCAAAGTGAGCCAGAAACAAAACCACCAAGGACAGTGAAAGTCAAATTCTTGCACTAACCTACAGTGTTATAACAGGTAAAGAATAGTGCTGTCAATTAACATGCGTTAACGCCTACAATTAACGCAGAGCACAATTAACGCATTTTTTTTAACGTGCATTAATCGCAGGCATTTTCACGGAGCTGCCCCTTTGACACACCACGATGGTGTGTCAAAGGGGCAGCACAGAGGGAGCCTGGGATCATCTGGAGTCCCCAGATGGCCCCAGGCTTCCTGTAACGCTGCCCCTTTAAAATGCCACTGCTGCGTTTCAAAGCGTCAGCATGAGCAGAGCCCAGGATCAGCTGGGGACACCAGCTGATCCTGGGCTCCCGTGGTGCTGCCCCTTTGAATGCCCCGGTGCTGGCACTGCACATAGCCTGGGGTCAGCTGGGGACTCCAGCTGATCCCAGGCTCCGTGTTGCGCAGCCCCTTTGAAATGCCAGGGCAGCATTTCAAAGAGGCCGTGCCACACAGCTGATCCTGGGCTTCTGCGTCGTTGCCCCTTTGAAATGCTGCGGCAGCGTTTCAAAGGGGCCGTGCAACCTGGAGCCAGGGGCCAGCTGGAGTCTTACTATTTGATTGCACGATTAATCACAATTAATTATTTTAATCGCTTGACAGACCTAGTGAAGTTTAAAATCTAATACTTTTAACTTGACAGTGTCTCTTTAAAACAATTCTTGCAATTTAATTTAAGAGCTACACAGCATGGGGGAATAGAGCTATTCCCCATATACACAGCACTGGTACAGCTGTCCTGGGAATTAACAGGCAAGTGCAGCAGGGAATTTAATGAGCAGAGGAGACAGTTTGCTGGCTATATACTGCAGCCAATCCCTGCCAGTTGTAGCTGGAGCTTTACTGCAGCAATAATCCATTTTAAAGTGTTATGTAACACTTAAGTATTCTAAGACAGTCACTGCTCTGGATAGGGAGTAGAATTATGAAGGACAGGGAAATGGGGGGCTGAGGTATTCACCCAGATGCCACCACTTGCTGAGTAAAGTCCCATCTCATTGCTCCCTCCATTTCAAATACAAATTCACTGGTTTCCCTTTGTGGCAACTGCAGGTTGATCCCCCGCCAGGGTGCTGTGGAGAGCACACACACCTCCATCCCCGGACCTTTGCGTCTTAGTCTGGCTCGTGAACTGCACAAAACTTTGAGAGGCAGAGCATAGCTGCTGGGACTAACTGCCAGAGAGCTGTTCTCTTGTCCTCTCTGCCTACCTCCTTTAAATGCAACACCAAGCCCCAAACACTAATGTGGCCATGAGACACAACTCTCCCTATGCAGCATCATTCAGGCAGGAAGTTACTCAAGTGACGACCTCCAGTACATCACACCAGGCCCTATGTACAAGGCGAGAGTAGTGCGTTCCTAGGCATATTTTACGAAGGCTCTGTCAAAAGAGTCATTGAAATGCATGCTCTGGTCTAGGTAGAGGCCTACTCCAAGTCTCTGTTTAAAAATTGCTCTGCTCTCTCCATACTGGCCACACAACCAAGCTGTATCAAATGCACTTGTCAGAAGGGGTTCAGCAAGTACAGTGTTCTCCCACCCCATGAAAAGAAGCCCGCATGTTGGAGCAGCTCCACATGCACAGAGAGGAAGCTATTCAGTACTTGAGTACTTTGTGTTATGGTATCTCTTGCCAGGTAATTGGGGATGCTAAGCACAAACCCCAACATTAGCTGACGATGTTAATATCTCTGCTGACCAGAGATATTATGTTCTTATGACCAAACGTAATGGCCAGCAAATCCAGATTACATATCAAAAAGACCTAATGATCCTGGAACACAGAGAGAGAAAGGGACAATGTGTCTAAATTACATGTCCATTTTTACTGTCCAAGTTAAAGTTGCTGGTGTCTGGCAAACCCAAGCAGTCCTGCGGAATAGCCATAATTTTTTTTAAAAAATGTCAGTCACCTGATACCTGCAAAAGGGCAGGCCTTTGGATACACTGGGCATAATCCTGGCACACTGTCAGGGCAACGTGACTAACCTGCAGCTAACACAGGCCTTTTAACTGGAGATCAGGTACTCAGGGTTGTACCACGAGTCTTCTTGCTTCTAGGCCTTGTCTACAGCTAGCTTTTTTTCAGAAATTCTCCTAGAGTCTAGCATCAGGACTGTGCTAGAGCAGCACTGGGAGGAAGTACTAACATTTCTCAGAGTAGCCCCAGACCCAGGCTTCAGAAAACAAAGTAGATTGTGAGGCCAATGAAAGTACGACAGTGGGATTTTCTGGAGTGGAATCTTGCAGAGGGACCATCACTCTCCTATATCAAGGGTGTATGTAAATTTGGGGGAGGGGGGCGAGGGAGATGGGGGACAACAAAGAAAGAAAAGAGAAGGAAGAAACAATCTTCAAGTGTTTCCAAAAATCTTGTGGAAGATGTCAAGACTTCTCTGCCTTTACAATAGTCATTGATGCCGAACTGTTAATATGCAACTAAATTACAGAACATACCACTTTATTTTAAAAACTATGAGCACTGCTGGATAGTGTAAATCACCCATATCGGAACTTCTCCCCAAGACCAGGTCTGGCCCTCTTGGGAGTGCTGTCCTGCCCTAGACGCCGAGAGGATACTGGAAGAAAGGCCTTTAACATAAGCGATGTCTGCACCCAATGAGCAAGCAGTTCTTGGCCCCTGCTCTCCGGGCTGCTAAAGAGCTAGTGAGGCCTGTGAGAAGCTGCAACAAGCCGGTGTGAGGAGAAAGGCACAAGTAAATAGCAGCTCTCCAGCAGCTGCTGTCAAACATCTGGCACAGGGAGGGAAGAAGAGGGAGGAGCTCAAACCCATTACATTACTCAAGCCCCTAATGCAAATGGGATGGGGAGGCTGACACCACACCAACCCAACCGGTGCAAGGAGGAGACAACCTGGTGACATCCCTTAGATCTTCAGCTGAAGGTTCTCTGCTTGGAGGTATCCAGGGCCCAGCTGGTGAAGGTGGGGAAGGCTGCACAGAACGCTTGCAGCCCAAGGAAGAAGAGGAGAAATCAAGAGGGAGAAGGCTAAACAAGTGCAGCAGGTCTCATGCTTCCTTCAACAATGGAATATCTGGGAAGAGAAAGAAAAAAAGAGAGGTCAGACTTTACATGAGTAACTCCCTGGAGCTTCTAGCAGGTGGCAGCAAAGTGCACAGACAGCGTGTAAGTTACGGCCTTTCCCACAGCTGTAGAGACACTCTCCGAGTTACAAGCATCCCACTTACATCTGCGCGCCCAGGAGTCCCCTTCAGAATCTCCACCTACCTCCTCATCCTCCTCTAATTAAACCTGCCTTTCCTCAAGCACCAGCATTCAAAGTTAAATTTAAAAACACACACCCCATTTCTACTATTTTTCATTGCAAGTGTACAGTATTTCAGCTACATTATGGGTTAAATAGGCTTTTGTGAGCTCACCTGGGAACCTAACCACCATTTATAACATTGAGTCTATGGCAAAATGTGTTCCCAGTTCCAAACTAACCAACTCACAAACGAACTTTCAGAACACAACCCATTCGTAAGCTGGGGACTTCCTGTCTGTGGGTAGTGCAGAATTGCCCCTCCAACACCAGGCAGCACTTCTTCCCACGCCTGCTCTCTCAGCAGGCTTGAGATCAGCAGTTGTATTGTCTTAGCCTAGCAACAAGGATGACTGCAAACAGGCCTGTGGCAAGTTAACCTTTAACTACAGCCAAGCAAGTTCCTAAGCAGAGGAGGTTGCACTGGCAATACAGCACAATCTGACACAGTAAGCTAACCTTTTGGTTAGTCTACCTTGGAACATAAGAACGGCCATACTGAGTCCCAGACCAAAGATCCATCTAACCCAGTATCCTGTCTGCTGACAGTGGCCAATGCCAGGTGCCCCCCAGGGATTGAACAGAACAAGTAATCATTAATTGAGCCATCCCGACACCCATTCCCATCTTATAGCAATCTGCCCTGCTAAGAGATGCCTTAAACAGCGCCTTAAAAGCAGTGCTAGTCACCATGGAACACATGGACTGTCTGCCTATTCTACCAGTGTGAAAGGCCGACTGGATCAGCTATTGGCAACACTATCCCCCCACTCTCTTACCTAGGGTTGAGGTTTTCCACCCATATCTGTGCATTTTTCTATTTCCCTCCCTGAAGGGGAAATAACCTTTGAGGTTTTATTGTTGAGCAGGGTTCCAAGTCATGTTACTGATGGCTACTGGGCTTGCGGCAATAGAAAACAAACTTCTGCTTTGTGCTAGCTACAAGCCAGTTACACGTCTTGACCTTGTGGGTCTAACTGAGCTTTGTTGTGTCTCTATATCAGCCCTGTCCATCTAAAGCTTTTCCTTCCACAGAGCCCTGAGAATCCAGAAGGCTGGTATGTGGAATCCCATCCATTATGGGATGAGGCACAAGACCATCACATCTCTTTCCTCTTAGGACTTCAAACTAGGCTTGTGCTCTGGGTCTGTACTGCTTTCTGCACTATGCCAGCCAGTCTCTTGCCTTGTCAGTTACAGTTCCCCAAACGGAGGAGCCTCAGAAGTGTAAAGAGCTCATTTTCAAATGAGTGCCGTCCCTCTCTCTCCCCGCCCTCTGAACAGCAGTTGCCGCTGAATAGAACTGCACTGCATTTTCATTGTACTGCAGGGGCAAAAGTTCTTTGTAATTGACTAACTCGAGAACAGACGCAGCACCACGTCAGAACAGACCTTTGGCCCTTCTAGTCAGGCATCTTGCCTTCAATGCTGGCCAATGCGGAATGCTTTGGAGGAAGATGTAGCATCCCCAGTCTGCCTCTAATTACAAAATATTGTACAGTGGAGGCAGGGAAATTTCTTAACCCTCAGCTGGTGACCAGCCTGTGCCCTGAAGCACAAAACTCAATGGCCCTTCTAATTCTCATCCTAGCTAGCTGCACTGCAGCAGCTATTCTTATTCACAGGGTTTCATTCAGTGTTCTCGGTTCGTATCACCTACCGTCTGTGTACTCCTCAGAGGAAGTGAGTGATAAAAGGCTTTGTATATCACTGCTTTCTGAGTCTTGAGCATCTCTGTGCACCGGTCTGCTGCTAGCCATGCCAGCTACCCAGGAAGACGTGGTGGCCTGGTGCACGAGAACAGTTTCAGAGCGCTGGGAGCCACTGGCTTCACACAGTCCAGAGTGTCCTGGGGTCTCATCCTCGCCAACAAAGCAGTCACGAGCCCCTAGGTCCTGCTGCTGTTGCTGCTGCATCTCGCTTGTTCCAGTCTGCCCGGCTCCCTCTGACAGCACAATCTGTACCCGCGAATCCGAGGGCGGAATGCAGTTCCCTGCGCTGCCATACACTGCTTCTTCATAGGACGGCAAGGCCACCTGGACACCATCCACCATCATGGAGACCTGATCCCCAGATACACCTTGATCACGTCTTGAAAGAACAGAAGAAAATTGAGTGTATTACTGCATCTGAGCCCCCACCACGCCAGGAGGGAACCCTTCCTTATCCCAATCACACAGCTCAACAGGGACTGGATTTTACCCAGATCCCAATAAAAACAAGTCACCCACTTCCTTGTGCTGCCATGCAATGAGGCAATGCCCTCCTGGCTGCTCATCAGCCCACCACACCATGTGCTTAAGGTGCAGCAGTGACTGGTTCAGAAGACAAGCCTGTACCCAACCACAGAAGGGCAGCACAGCAGAGCAGACCTCCAGCAATGGCAGCAGTTGAAATATGGCTCCCTCCCCACCTCCACGTACAGCTGTCTTTTCCCAGGTCAGGAAGGCAAATGTCCTGCTTTTTTTTGTTTTTTTTTTAAACTTTCCCCTAGCAGGGATAATCAAGTACGTGCACTTACAGCACAAACTCCTGAATAATCAGTTTTACTTTGCCCGGTGAGTACCTTTGTTTAGTGGAATCAGCACAATTCACTGCCACAGAAGCAACTGAGGGATCTCTTGCATGTTGAGCTGGGCATTGGCAGGGGATGGGGCAGATGTCAATACACAGACTCTGACCTTGGTAATCATTCAACACTGGCAAAGGAAGGTGGCTGACTACAGGACAGCCCAACAGGGTGTGGGTATCTTCTTACATTGAACAGTTAGAAGCAGAGACAGAAAAGCAAATGGCTGGCAGGGGAAAACAGTAGCCATCGGAACGGAGAAGCAAAGCACCACCCAAACCCAGAGCTGTACTTGAGTTCAGGGGACCTGCGGGGCAGACTGCTTCTCTTTGCTCCCTGCAGCCCATGGACACTGTGCCAACCACAGAACTTTTCCACCCCCAGTAATTCCTGGGCCTCACCACTGAAGACACAAGTGGGGGCAGCTAGAAGTAATAATGGGTGCACCAAGGGGGGGAAGTGACAGCTCCACTATGCCCTGACTTTGTGAGGCCCATGGTTTAAACAGGGGAAGGGGATAGCCCTTTCCTCCGCTCCATTCAGTGCACTGCCCCACAAGCAGAGAATTCGGGGAGTTAGGCCCAGATTCCAATAGACTCCATTCATATCACACAACCACTAGCACCTGTTAGTGCTGACTATGGTTGGCAGTCTTAATGATCTCAAAGACAGGCAGAGGCTGGAGACTAAACCTCTCCAGGTAAGGGTTAAGGTACGTTGGCAGAGCAGTGGGCAAGCGAAGCTTGTGGTAAGACTGCCAGTAGCAGATCTATTCTGCAGATAAAAAGAGGCTCTGTTCTTCACTCATCAACTTGCCAGCAACAAATTTATTAAAGCAAAGGGATGAGATGTTTATGGCTATTAAAACCAGACCCTGCTCATCAAGACACAAGATTTGATTTAAAAAAATAAAAATAAAAATAAAAAAAACCCATCAGACCAACAAAGCAACAGACTTGAAGAGAGTGGTGATGAAAAGCAAAAAAGGATGAAAAAAATATGAGAACAGCAGAAGAACAGGACAGAGAAAGGAAAGAAGAGTGATGGGATTAAGACGACAAAAACAAGACAAAGCTAACACGCTTGTGGCCTGCACATGTAGATAAATTCCATACCCCCAGCCTCTACCTTCTGGTCAAAGTTTTCTCCCATTGAACTCACCTGCTGTGATGAAAAGACTTTAGCTTTGGCTGCAGCAAAACAAACAACACAACTAAGAGAAGGATCAGAGCTACTGAACTTGCTGTGGAGGCCACTATGGAGAGGGTGGGCACCCCGATTGTCGGGGTAGAATCTTTATCTACAAAAAACAAAAAAAACCAGAAGGTAAATGGCTCATGCCCCAGAACAGACATCATGTGAACAAGCTATGGACAAGGCTCCTCTGAAAGAGGGAGCTGAGTCTCAGGGAAGACCAGTAGAAGTCGGAGGGCTAAGGGAGCAGATTTAGGAGAGAACGAGTTACCCTGAGGAAGTGGGTCTGGCCCACGAAAGCTCATCATCTAATAAACCATCTTGTTAGTCTTTAAAGTGCTACATAGTTCTGTCTTTTGTTTCAGCTAGACGAGACTAACACGGCTACATCTCTATCACTACCAAACATACAGTTAGAGCCCTGCAGACCTGCAGATATCCATTTTAGATCTGCCAGTATCTGCATCTGTGGATGAGAATATCCGTGGCTCATTTTTGCAGGTGCAGGGCTCTACACATAGTTTGGCTAAATGCCAGCTACCAAAAGGCTTGATAACAATACGGGAGGAAAAGAACAGTTTAGTGCAACAGAAGGGTGTTTTAGGCTGAATAGCTGAAAAAGCTCCTGTTAATAGAATTCTCAGCCAAAGGACCAGTCCGCCCCAAGGAAAGTATCGGAATCCCCATGGCTTGGCACGGGTAAAACGTGACACGAGAGCTGAGCAGAAGTGGCCATAGAATCTATACCAGCACTTAGATTGGTCCCACGATCCGTGTTTGTGCAGACATAGCCTAACAAACATGTACTGGTGAGTAATCCTGTACTGCAGCGGTTCTCAGATGTTTTGGCCCACCCCACTCAACACAGACATTTCTGTGGACCATCAGCCAACCACTCATGACAAAATGGGTGCAGGAGCAGGCTGAGGGTGGGAGGTAGGGTACAGGAGTGAGCGGGGCATACAGGGGTCTGGGCAGAAGAGAGAGGGTGTGTGAGGATGATGGAAATACGGGGTCTAGGCGTGAGAACACGGCTACATCTCTATCACTACCAAACATACAGTTAGAGCCCTGCAGACCTGCAGATATCCATTTTAGATCTGCCAGTATCTGCATCTGTGGATGAGAATATCCGTGGCTCATTTTTGCAGGTGCAGGGCTCTACACATAGTTTGGCTAAATGCCAGCTACCAAGAGGCTTGATAACAATACGGGAGGAAAAGAACAGTTTAGTGCAACAGAAGGGTGTTTTAGGCTGAATAGCTGAAAAAGCTCCTGTTAATAGAATTCTCAGCCAAAGGACCAGTCCGCCCCAAGGAAAGTATCGGAATCCCCATGGCTTGGCACGGGTAAAACGTGACACGAGAGCTGAGCAGAAGTGGCCATAGAATCTATACCAGCACTTAGATTGGTCCCACGATCCGTGTTTGTGCAGACATAGCCTAACAAACATGTACTGGTGAGTAATCCTGTACTGCAGCGGTTCTCAGATGTTTTGGCCCACCCCACTCAACACAGACATTTCTGTGGACCATCAGCCAACCACTCATGACAAAATGGGTGCAGGAGCAGGCTGAGGGTGGGAGGTAGGGTACAGGAGTGAGCGGGGCATACAGGGGTCTGGGCAGAAGAGAGAGGGTGTGTGAGGATGATGGAAATACGGGGTCTAGGCGTGAGGGGCACTTACCTGGTTCCGTGCCTCCTGCCGGTCCCCTGGCCATGACCCCAGCCAATGGGAGCAGCAGGGAAAGCCTCCAGGCAAGCAGTTTCCTGTGCTGCTGTTCCCCCACATGGTGGGGGAGCGGCAGTGTGCGGAGCCGCTTCCTTCCCCTGCAAGCCAGATCCAGCCTGCAAGGCTCAGGACTCCTCTTGCCCCCTGCAGTGGGAACCCAGTACTAGAGCTCCAACCTCATGGGAAGGGGGGCGGGGCTGCAGAGCTGGTGCAGGCTCCCTGCTACGGGTGTGGGTGTAAGCCCCATGCCCATGGCTCACCTGCAAGATGGTCTAGACCACACTTTGAGAACCATTGCTCTAGGGCAGTGGTCCCCAACCATTTGGGGTTGCTGGGCGCCAGGGGGTGTGGCTGTTCGCCCGCCGGGTGCCCGGGGGGCGGGGCCCCCCGCGCCGCGGCCC